ATCTAGCTGATGCGTACAACCAGCTCTTAATGAAATTCGAGGGCCTTCCCATGGCTTCAATAAGTACTTAAAGCGGGATGCGCCGAATGTGGCCGATAATCTTGACGAGAGACTATCTAATGCACTAGCGATATCCAATCGTCTGATGATTAAAATGTTCAAGCCACATCGTGCCTATCAACAGACACTTTTTGTGTATACTCTTCCATAGTTGTGCAGCGCACGGGGGGTGGTGGATTTGGATTTCTCCAGACCAGTATGACTGGTTGCGCCTTGCTCATGTCTCTTCATCAAGTTGATGTATACAGTCAGAGCTTTATGAAGAGCGGGGATATCCTTTTCACTGCTTGGTTCCAAACGCGCAGTGCTGTGTAAGCGGCAGGCTATATCCCAGATAGTAACTGTCCAATGCGCTAGCACATTTAACCGTCTGGTGTTCAGCTGCTAGCCCCCATATATACGTATGCGCGGGTGAAATGCGATATATATTCGTTTGGAGCGCGGGCATTTAACATGGACGCCCGACTTTATGTGCTTTGACAAGCTGTTGTCAACATGACGAGTGAGTTTTAGCTCTAACGAGATGCTCATACTGGATACTTTATATATTTTTGTAAGCAGACCTACCGAAAATCAAGGTTTCGTGGATTGTCCAGCGCCAATATGCAAAAAGACTTGAGAATGTGGCTTAGCTCGATCAATTTCTTGCACAGGTATAGTACAATCACACCGACATGACACGACTCCTTACCATTCTCAGAAAAAGAAAGCCAAGTGGGTTCTTGTCGAGTGTGACAGAAGAGGTGGCATTCGAGTCGTGATAGAAATACTTATAAGTTCGCTGATCCTGGTTGTTTCAAGCTCGGTTATCTAATTTATATCGTCTATGACGCTTCAGAATTTGTGCTTTACTCCGAGCGGGTATTAATGTACATAAGCACGTCATTGCGGCTAAGTCATCAGCTTAAAGCGATGAAAAGAAAAACAAGTTGATGACGACGAATTACTCGATGTGATAAGCACGTCATTGCGGCTGAGTCATCAGCTTAAAGCGATAAAAAACAAGTTGACGATGAATAAATCGATATGATGTATACTCTTGTCAAACGCAAATAAAATTTCCCTGGGTCCGTGTTTCTTAAAATCATACGTTGTTGCGTACAGCAACGTTGTCACTACACCTCTTACAGATAATGACAAGATATCTTGTCTTATTGAATTAGTTAGCGTTCGTGATAAGTCTACCCACCTTGCACGAAATCTCAGTTCATCTAAGAGCTAGAGTGTGGCCTTAAAGTTATGAAGGTCTAAGCCTCGACGTAGCTGTTATTGTTCGTCCACTGTTAGTACTTCAGTAGGGAGGACGAATTCGGATGAAAGCATGCTCGTTAGCCAACAGAAAGGGTCAGATTATAGGGCTCTTTCTGAGTATCTTCATGCGAGGCAACGCCAAAAGCAGAGGACATTTTGCAGAACTATTGGTTGATGCTAAGATTAATTTTTTGACAATCTCGTCCCCAATGTCAAGATATTGGAGCATGATATTGTTTAACAAGTAAAATACATATTGACGATATTAGGTAGTAGCTTCTCTTTTGCCTTTGGTTCGAAATACCGCTATCTTACTCTGACTAAAAACAAATAAACAACTAGATTCAGCTTTGCTGTGACATTTGTAAAATACCTTTCGTTTGGTTTATCGCTCAGTCAGGTAATACTTGTGTTGCTGGCCCTAAGAGCTGACTGGCGTAGGTGTAATTGGATACGCAGCCGGGCTGCCGTAGCTCTTTGCTTAAAGAATGCTTACTATGGTGACCGACCTAATGTTCTACTAAAAACAGCAAGAGTGTAGAGATCGAAATTCGCTATCTGTAAAAGTACTCAAAACCTTACCTCAAGGCAAATACACTCTATACGCTCTTCCGTTCAAAATCCAGACTGTATTTCTCTTGTTTGATTTGCAGCAAAGTCGCCTATATTTAAATCTCTAGATTTTCCTGATTAAATAGTAAAACCTAACTAACATGCATAACTACCGGTAGTCCCGCCACAAAGTGACTTTTTGTTACGGTGTAGCCACACCAGTGTGTGATTCAGTCTTCGTCCAGTGGATAATATGCCACAACACGCGCATCTGAAGGGCCTTGCCCAAGAGGCCTTGGACCTCGTCCGACCATGTCACTTTTGGCATGCAGCTACTGCTTCGATACCTGAGCAGTGCTCAGTGGGTTACGTGCCACTCCACGTGCATCACTGGGTCGCCCTCGATGCCTAGGCCCTTGGCCGACTATGCCACTCTTGGCATGCAGCAACTACATTGATACTTGAGCAGTGCTCAATGGGTTGCGTGCCACTCCAAGTTCAGCCGGCGAGCCATTCTCGAGACTCCTGCCAAATTCACCATCGGAGTTCGACAGCTCGGGTACTTCGATATCCAGCACATTGACCGTCCCGGTCCAGCACCCGCAACAATAGCGCTTCTGCTTTCTAGCAGAGTTAGGTTCATGACTCACCAAAGCTCCACCAGGAGACGTGCGTGTAGCGCATGGTCGTCGACCTCCATTCGATCCATGGCTCATGATTTTCCAACCTTGCCATACGAAGGATAAGGTCATATCTCGATTCCAAGTCTTAGACTAATCAGCGTGCCACGCGATCGAAGTCAGGTAATTAGACCACAGGGACCTTCGTTATCCGAGCGATGGGCTCTCAAAGGAGAGGCCCGTCAGGTAATGAGGTAAATGAATGACTAGGATGCGATATTCTTGCTACCCCGGAGACGGCAAGAATATCGTATCGTAGTTATGCTAAGAAGAATCTGTGCAAAACGCTGTGACTTACAAAAAGTACGGTTTCGTATATCATGTTGGTGTCCACCAAGTGGCATAGTATTTAGCTCTCAGTGTCGAAAATGAAATGTAATGCTCTTTATGTTCTGTATCAAGTATGTACTTGATGGACAGCAAAAGTCCAGCTGAACAAAGAAACATATTGCTAGAAAGACCAAGTCACGACGTTGTTTATAGTGTGAAGTCTATCATACAGCAGAAAAGTGCGAAGAGCTTGGATTAGTAGCTAAGCCTTCATTACTGGCTTAGTCATTCCAAATGTTCACTTTTTTAACCTAGGATGTGTCATGAGAATTTAATAAATGTTTAGATCTGATGTGCTAGATTATAAGCTAAATTGATATCCGAAAAGTTTTCAATATCGACCAAATTACATAGTAATTTAGACAATCGGGAAAATGTTGCGCAAAAATAAGAAAAACATTATAAATTGTGAGCAATGTGTAATTGAAAATGTGACACTCAGAGAATACAAGACAAATTTGTGGCTAACATCAAATTCACAAAGTATGAGGCGTACATCAAATACTAGTTGTCTGGTCGTTTTGAGCGGTTGCCTATCGTGTTGCATCGCAGACAAAGTTTGCAAAGTCGGGATCGCCATTTGTAAAATAGCAACAGAATCTCAAACCGAATATTTGGCGACTCTCTTTCTGAGCCGGCTATACCCTCTTTATTTTTATCTTGTTTATCTGCACATTTCTTTAAATTAATTACCAATTTAGAAAATCAAAGTTAAGACCTTTAATTTTAAATCCCTCGTCAAATTCAAATAGCTTATAGGATTGTTGTAAAGGATGGGCCTTGTTTAATCTGTACTCACTCTGATGTCTTGTTTGTCAGTATACTACTCCAGTAATAGGTTGTGTTGTAAAGCCTCAAAGACAAGCTCAGCTGTTGGCGTTCCATTCCTTGTCTCTACGGAGTAGCACTCTTTGTCTCCTCTCCCTTGTTCATGAATGGCTCGTCCGTGAGGCGACCTAGGACGCTACAAAATTGGACGAGACGCAATCCCGTGTTATAGTTATGATACTATTAGATCCAGTCACGACGGCATCTTGCTAATACTTTAGTAGAAGGCGAATTAGATGCAACGGCTATTGTTTACGATGAGAATTGCAACGCACGCAGCTTTCAAGTCGTGAGAAATTCGGTAGTTGAAAGAGGTTGAAATCTTATGTTATGGCTGTCAAGAGCTATCCAAGCGTATATTAATTGTGAGTAAATAAGAAGTGAGTGGTTTAAAAAAAAAACTAATACAAGGTTATCAAGTAGGTTACTCAACAATAATGAACTCGAGATGTTTAACTTGGACAATGACATGGAAATTTTGTACGTGTATAATTATTCCAAACACTCATCAGGTTTTGTACTGATATTATTATTGCTATATCCCAGAGAGTTGGCCAATAACAATGTCACACTTTCCACGACGATTAAGTTATTTAGACCTGAGCTCGATCTCGACGCTGTCAGCATGAACACCATTGCCAGAATCAGGAGAATTACAAACGCTGCTACTTCGTGGAAATTCTCTTTATTCCGTGAGCGTTGATACATTTTCATCATTAATTGTATTGCAATCTTTGTACGTGAAACAAACCTGAAATATTATTGTGTATAACAAGCTCAGATTTCGTGCTATGACAGATCATGGGTTTGAAACTTAGTGACAATTCACTAACAATTGTCTCTGTACTCACAACTCTTGTCAAGCTGTACGTACAGACTTTTTGTAATCACTTTATTTTCAAATTGTCATCCTCATAACTTTCATGTAGAAATCTTGAGTCAAATGGAATTAATGAAATTATTGGAGTAAGAAGCTTCGAAAAATTTACTTAAACGACAATCCACTTTCAACAATTAAAATTTGTTGCTCGGATGTGAGTGTGTTTCAAAGTTTAAATTGATTTTGTCGCTCCATCCTCCGTTTCAAGCTCATGTATCAATTCTAAAGGAAAAAGCGAAGAATTTTAAGGTGTTTCTTTTCTTGTGTTAGAAGATGACGATTGTATGATCACGTTAATCTCTGATTTTGAAAGTAATTTGATTGTCTTAAGATCACAAGTGAACGCACTGCACGAGTTATTGGGAATAATCCTTACGAATATCGCGATATTGATGCAAAGAATGGAAATAATAGTTCATATGGAGACAATGGTACGAAAACACCAAGTGTGGAATCTTTACGAAAGTCCATTAGACAAGTATCATCCTGTGGATCTTCTTGAATCAAGTCCAAAGAGCAGCAAATTTTCTGGAGCGAGCACACTTTCTTTACAAGCACGTAGTAAAATTAAGAGCAAAATCAATCTCGATGATCTTCTTGTGTTTGAAATTCCACCACTTCACATGTCAATGTCTAAGAAAAGCAGTAAAGCTGCATTAGCATTAAGTTCTGTGGGCGTCGGTAATGTACGTAAATTAGATACAGCACTCTTTCTGGTGGAATATCAAGGATATCAAGTTGTAATTCAAGCACTTATGCGATCAAAGAAACGTCTGGAACAATATTCTGTGGAGCAAATTTGTCTTGCTGCATCACTTGATCATGCATCTTATCGTTCACTTTATTGGTGTCACCACTGGCTGTAGTACATCAACGAGTTGCAATCGTGGAAGTTAGTGCAGCAGCTCAACTTACATCGTATGCTAGCAATGGTCCAAAACCTAATTTTAATGAAAGTCGAAGCAAACATACAGCTATGAGTGCACCAGCATGGCATCTTAGCATTGTTTTTAAGTACAAATAATACGGTTCTCTTACTTCCATGTTTGAAGCTGAGCGTCATCGTCGTGAAGGCAAAGGATTTTAATAAACTAAAGCATAGCAACAATTATTGGCAGCAGAAATGAAAACATCTTTAGTTGGTATCCAGTACTACGACCATCTGAAAGCGAAAGCAACGTTTTTTTCGATCTTAGGATATTTTTCAGAACCGTTCAACTGGTGAGATCTAACAGACGTTGATTTGACAACGCCAAACTTATAGCGAGAGCCACATCTTTTGGATTTTAAGGCGTTTTGGGATCGCACGCGCGACAACATTCGAATTATATTGATAAAAAGCAGATTTTTACCTCAAGGATTAGTTCGGACCAGTGCGACGTGACATCTCATCATTAGTTGAAAGTCTATGTCACACGCCTTCTTTCTTGCTTTAATATCAGAAATTCCTTCTCCCTTTTTCCTCTGCCGACTCGAGGATAGATGGTGAAATTCTTCTGTGCGATCGTTGGTGCAACGGGAAGCGTGTTCCCTGTGGACATTGACGCGGGTCAGTCGGTGGAAGACCTGACGAAGGCGATCAAGGCGAAAAAGCCTAACGACTTCAAAGATGTTGATGCACACAAGCTGCATCTCTTCCTAGCGATGAAAGACGGCGCTTGACTGAAGTCGAAGGATCCTGCAGTGATTGCTATGCGGAAATGGGTGTTCCTAAAAAGTTAAAGCACAGCTGGACGTGGAAATGGATCCAGTAGATGAGATTGGTGACTTGTTTGGTGATGCTCCGACGAAGAGGACGATTCACGTGCTGGTGGTTTCCGATAGGTCAAACGTCGCCAATAGCTCTCTGTCCTCGTTAATAACTCACAGTGAAAAATTGACTGAAGCGCTGACGCGAACTTTAACAAAATCCTCGACAAGAACAAGAAGGCGAAGATAATTGGTATGGATGGTTCGTCGACTGGATACTCCTATGTGCGATAAAGCGATGTCAAGAGTGTGCTCGACTACGAATGGTATGTACAGGAGCGCAAGCCGATTCCCGATCATGCTTTCGACGTTTTGATCAAGTACTTAAAATACGCTATGGAAGCTATGAACGGATACACCGACGTATCAAGAGGTTATCTCTTTATTGCGCCCGTACTCATCATGCTTTGTAGTTTATTTGTCGACGTGAAGCTAGAGGTCGAAGAGTCAGTGGACGGCAATGAAGTTCACGCAAACGGAAATTCTGAGTTCGTACTCACCCGTGGTGGAAGCAAAGAAAAACAACTTTGATCAAGGGAAAGCGCAGGTGCTCATCGGATGCGAAGCAATTGCTGACCGCGAAGGACTCTTTACTGTGTACAGCATCGTGACAGACTTCATGAAGTGGGTGTGGTGAAAATTCTATTTTGCTGAATTCGAGCACATCATACATTTTACATCAATTGGTAATTTTACTGGATCTTCCGAGGATAAAGCGGTCGCAGCGTGCTATCGACTCTACTACGCAACCATTGCCTTCTGGTTCCAAGATGTTTTCAAGATCACTGAGAAATGTCTGCTACCACTTATCGGAGATGGTTTGCGCGATTCCCAAGTTAATTTATTTCAGTGCTGCATCAATATTTCTATTATCCTGATAATATTATGTTATTAGTATACAAGGATGGCGTACTCACCAGAACTATATCTCTCTACCAAAGAGCGCATTAAAGCAGCACAGAAGCGCACACAAGAATAGAATCGAACTTAGCGAATCTGAATAATTAATTTTTTTTTTTTTAAAGAAAAAGTTAATCCCAAAATAATGGCTTAAAACCTCCAAAAAGGTATAAAGCCAAATGTTTAAATTTAATTTATTTAATCTCAGAATATTTTGTAAATGACTAAGGTATAAAGTCGATCGTCAAATGCTTATAAAGTCATAAAATATATTTACGGAGAATACTATACCAAGCATATATAGGCAACATGTTTGCATACGAACTCGAAGATTAAATATCCAACCTATCAACTGGAGTAGTTACTACCGCGTAAAGGTGCGTGATAGAACTGGAAAGATGGTTTATGTTAGCAACGGCCGCGTCCAATCAACAAGAGATTAGTATCTAAGCAGTACAATGTTTCGATTGAAACCCCTAGAAACACTTGTCGCCTGACTACAAGGCTAATCCTAAGTACCTTTTATACAATGGTGATCACATGGAATCACACCTATATGAGGCCATCGAAGTTACTGATTTCTACGATAAGCTCGAGAACGTTCTTTCAACTCAGGTAAGTGCTTTTACGGTAAATATTGCTATTGGGTACGAACTTGTGAGCAAGACTGATCCTGATGACACTCGCTACTTCTACCCAAATCTCGCTAAAAGTTATGTATCCAACCAGCCTGTCGCAATCAACAGCAAGACGGATATTCGAAGGAAGGTGATTTCGATAATTCGGTCTATGGGGTTGGCCGACAAGCTGAATTACTCCAGCTCTGGATATAAGCTTAAGGCGGTCACTGCATTCAAGATTTTCGTCTACCATCGCGACCATGTTCTTGGAGATAGCGAAGCTGTTATTCCTAAGGTTATTCGCAAAAACAAGCATGTAATTAACTTCCCTAAGACTAGCACCAAGTGCGTCTTCTACTGCATCGCCTTGCACACATTCCAGAGCACCAAGAAGGATCCTCGCACAATTCAGGCTCAGATGAAGGATGCATTCCGGCGCTACTGCTATTTTAAGGGGAATGAAGTATACGTTGAGTCTATTTAGAAGATCTAAGCCTATTGACCTACTACATCTCGATGAATTTGAGGACGGCTTCCAACTCGGTATTAACGTATACAGCATGGATGTAGCTACCGGAAATGTTCAAAGCATTCGTATGTCGAAAAAGAGGTATGAAGCTTTGGATATTCTATCACACGAGAATCACGCTCTCTACATCAAGAACATCGATATGCTTCAGTCTGAGTATCAGCGCACAAGTGTGAAATGATTTTTGTGAGTGGTGAAAGACTTAAAAATCACAAGAATAATCAGCGCGAGCTTGAGAATATTGAGAGCTTCACCACTGAACCAACTATATACAAACCGGCTCAGAACACGATACGATCATTGCTTATGAAGTATTCCATTAAGCGCTTCGATCTAGGTATGTTTGCGGATGGAGTGTCCTTCCCAAGTCTTTCAGAGAAGGTCATGTATCAGACCTGCTTTAATAACCTCCAATATCCAGATAAGAAACCTGCTAATTCATTTCAATTTCCAGCTAAGCGCATGGCAGGCTACAAGAGTCAGGACGCTAAGGCAAAAAGAAAATTTGGTATGACACTCGACATTGCTGCAAAAACAAAAGTATCTATGTGGTCTATGCTATTGTCAGCTGACTGCTGATACCGCTTCAGCGGATAACAGTACTTTGGTGAGATGACTCCAGTTTTCAAGAATGTACAGATCGACGGTACGAATGAGAGCGTCATTGGTAAGCACATGTTCGAATACAATGAGGCGCGCAAGCAAAGCCGAGCAAAACCAGCTTGCAAGTCGATTGGTAGATACTTTGCTAAAAAAAATCATCTACACTCCTTTGCTCAAGTGGTACCTTTCTCATGGTATGGAGATAACCAAATCCTACTGCTTTCTCAAGGCCAGCTCTCACAAGGCTTTCGCCACCTTAATGGAGGCTGTATCAAATGCTCGACGAGAGGGCGATGTTGATAAGTCGAAGGCAATGATTGCTGAGATGATGAAACTGGTAGGTAGCAGTGCTTTTGGCCGATCTGGAATGGACATGAGCATGCACAAAGAGTTTTCGTATGAGTTGAGCGACAAAGCTTCAAGAACAAAATCGAACACGTTACGTTTTATGGTCTCGAGGAGCTTAATGATGCGCGTAAAATCACGATGAAGAAGCGTCGATTCAATAATAAGAACCCAATCCACTTGTTGATTGCTATCTATCAGCTTGCCAAGCTACGCATTCTTCAGTTTTACTATGACTGCATAAATCTCTACTTAAAGCGCTCTGACTTCCAGTATCAGAAGATGGACACTGATTCCGTTTATATCGCTTTCAGCTGTGATAATCCGTTTCAAGACGTATCAAGCCTGAGCTACGATCCCACCTCAAATGCACAAATACGATTGGTTCCCACGCGACTACAACACCGAGGTAGCTAAGTTTTATTGCCGTACGCATGGTTTGATCAAAGATGAATGGTCAGGTGATATAATGGTCTCACTATCGAGTATGAATTATATTTGCTATCTACCCGACGAATATTACAAGGTAGAAGTTTCAGGGAAGGGCATTCAGCAGGAATGTGGTCGAAACAATGGTGTATTTAATCCTGATGGGTGTGAGACTGTCGTACGGGATTGCATCACGCTACAAAGTACAAACAAGGGGGCTCAGAATATCCAAAGAAACCTAGTCTATTATCACCTACACTCAAAACAAATCAGCGCTCAGCTACTACTATGACAAACGTCGAATACTTGATGATGGTATCACGACTGAAGCACTTGATATTTAAGCAGGTAACCACTAAGGATTTGTTTAATGTAAATATAGATCATGGACGCGCTAGTAAAGAATGTCTACTATGACCCAAAAAACCGATTTTATCGGAGCTCAAGCTCTGTGTCAGAAGGCAAAAAAGTAAGAATATAACTTTCAGAATAGTAAAGGATTGGTATAGGAGTCAGACCAATATTCAGAGATTTCAGGAGCAAAAGGAGAAATTCAATGGTTTCAAATCGCTTCGCCTGACCCCAACTCGTGGCAAATTGATCTCGCGTTTTGGGTGAAACGGCCAATTTTGAATGCTATCAACATCAACTCAAGGCTGGGGTACGCAAATCTCTTACGAATCAAGACGGCAGCAATTGTGTTAGCAGCGCTTAAAGCGTTTGTTTGTCTCCACAAAGTTGGTATCCTAACAAGTGATAATGGAAGCAGATTTATGAAGTCAAGGTTCAGGAATTTTTCCAAACTAAATAACTGAGCACTGCAACAACGAAACCGATGATCACATAACCATTGGAAAAGTTTGAACGATTCAGCAGGACTTTAAAGCAAAGACTAACCAAAATATCCCCCTTTAGAATTACCCAAAAAAATTATCACTGATTTTATCGAAAAACTACAATACCACGTTTCATCGTTTGATTAGTCTGACCCAAAATGAGGCAAAAGGCAAAGTAATCGATGCAATTTTGAGTCATAATCAGGTGAAAGCCGAACGAATTAAGAAGGGGTTTGACGTCGGATCAAGCGTATTATACCGTCTCAAATTAGGTATTTGGTAAGAAGCTGCTCGGTGGAGCAAAGCATTTTAAAAATCGTTAGAATTGATGGATCGAGTCCAAATCCGTTCAAGAAATGGGCATACCCTCTACAAGGCGCTAGACGATCTCAAAATGGTTAAAACAGAATTACAGATGCTAGTATTAGTCGAAGCGATATTCTTGAGGCGGAGAAGACCATGGGTCACAAAACGATACACTCTGGAAAGAATTATATTGTGGGTTGAATTGGCGGTGGACCTGACTCCCAGGAGTCAGGTTCATTATCTGCGACTGGTTAACAAAAACAGGAGATCAACGCTTGAAAAGGAGTATTGGAGTTCAAGAAAAAGCTTCACCCTGCGCCACAAAAAAGGATTCATAATTTCGTCATTCGTATCTACCCTTTCGTCATGACCCAATTATGCCGAGCTACTGGTAAGAGTATTTAAGGCTATTAGTTTCATTTTATTATGATTTGTTTGATATAGGCACAATGATTCCAAAAATTACATTGCTCGCTCAGAGAGCGCAAGTAAGCAGGAGCTTCTTTAAAAGGTTCAGCGCTGCGTTCGACAAGCTAAAGCCAAGCGAGAGATGTACGAAGGTGCTTCATGGGCAAGTGATATCACGAAGGGGGTATCTACAGTCTCTAAGAAATCAGCCGAATCAACTCGGACCGACTCATTCGAGTCTGCTGGGTCATTAAAAAACACTGATTGACCGATGCTCCCAAACAAACCCCGAGGTCTCAACTCCAAATTTTCGACCTGTGATGATCGATGTTGGAGTAGACAGCGGCGTGCAGATGTAAATAGCTTAAACAATACTCATCGTGCTAACCAAACTAAAAGAAAATACCTCAAACATCTGATGTTGGGATCGATAACACACAGCAAACAGCTGATATTGGAATCGACAATACCCCAAGAATGTTAGATGCTGAAACAAACATGAAAAACCTGCCGAAGATCAAGTGAAGGCTCGATCATGGGCTAAGAATTTGCTTAGTGCCAATCCTAGTTGGGAGGCGCTTTGAATTAAGCCCATCAAGCGTAAAACTGGCAAGGATGACAATCGATACTTTCTTGGTGAAAAGAGGCCATTAATTGCAGCCAAAACAGGTAGAAAGAGTAAGACTTATCAATCGATTGACTGGGTGGCTACAGAGGAGAAGATTAGGGACATCTGGTATGAAGTAAATCAGTCGATGGGAGCGGTTTTATGAGACTTGAAGACCCTCTTTATCACGTTTCACTAACGCGAAAAAAAAATTGCCGATCCAAGTAAAGGTGATGATGCATTCCGTTCACGGCGCTTCGAGTTTGACACATCAACTTCAACCTCATTAGATCAAGTTAATAGTATGATTTGATTGCTTTGTTCTATTTCAAGAATAAGGCAGTGCTTGAGTCGGCTGGTTTGAAGATTCCTAATTTCAAGAGCATGGGTAAAACATATCAGATAGATAAAACTGGATACGTGTGGATTGATGGTTCATCAATTAGTGTATTTGGTATTGGTAGGGGGAGAGTCAAGCCAGCGATTACGAAAAAAATTGATTTGAGATCAGCATTCCAAGAATTTATCGATTTAGTGAAAAATTGTGACGATATCGATCAATTTTCTAACGAAGACACCATCAAACTTGGAAAGGCTTTCGAGCCACGCGATGGTGGGGCTCGCCATGGAAAATTAGATTGGAATTTATGAAGATAGGAATACATCTCTAACTCATGACGATATCGATGCGAGAAAGATTCTCGTGGACTACTACAGCTAAATGGCATCTGAAGGAATTCGAGCTCCCTTTAGACTGAAACCAATTATAGATACCAAAAGTGGTGTGAAAGCTTATCAAAACTACTTCTTTAGTGAGCCTACCGCAGCAAAACCATTTTAGATTAAAATACACGAGAACAAAGCGGTTTTTGGAAAGGTTTTCAACGATCATATGAAAACCATTAGATGGATGAACACTTTGATGATGATGATCGACAAGACGAGCGCACACTTCGCCAAACGGTGAATAACATGGTTGATCAGGTAAGGACGACAGGCGTGGGGTCAGGGGTTAAGAGGACGCTTCAGGTTTGTGGGCTAAGAGGTGCTGGTGTCGCCCCACTTGATGGAGCTGTCCGTCGCGGGAGAACATACAATCTGAATGAGATCCAAAGTTTAGCCACCCCATCAGCATACATCTATTGCCAGCTGGGTAGTAAGTATATCAGATTTCCTGATCTTGATGCCAAAATCCTTGTGATTGTCCAACCCAATCGTCGTAAATGTGGTCCAAAGCGCGTAATCAGTGGTCCACTACAGTCAATGATCGGAACACTTGCTTATGAGCAACATATCGATCAGGCAGAGTATGACAAGCTCAGTATTGACGAC